TTTTAGTACAACAGCAGACGCATCATATCTTGATGGGTACGATCTTTGATTCACAGATAAATATCTCATTCTGCCTGAGAGATTTGCAAAACAGTTTCAACAGACTTGATAGTTCTTACTTTTTTATGAATGCGAGAAGCTCTTCTAGGTGTATTTGCATTAGTGAATGATTAATGACCAAAACATTGATTTACTACTTTGAGAAAAAACAAATTTCAGTTCGATCGAGTGTATTATGTCAGGGTCACGACAATAACTCTTTTATGACGCACTTGACTCTGTAACAGTAGATCAAAGACTGTATCGAAAGTATTTCATAGTCCAGACGACATCTGTCAGTATTGTAATGATTTACAGTCAATAGAAACAAACTTTCACTTTTTTCACCATGTTGGATAGATTTCTAGAACATGTCTCAAGGATCATTTATTTTATTTAGTAAACATGTGGTTTTCGGTCATGTTGTTGCTGGCCAATCCGTAGTTGATGAAATTGAAAATTTACCTGTTGATTCAAATAATAGTCGACCATTGAAAGATGTTGTTATATCTCATTGCGGTCAATTAGTACTTATTTCAAGTAAAACAAATTTCTTTTTTCTCTTTTTCTTTCGAAATAAAAATAATAATAATAAATAATTATAATTTAGAAAATAATAAACAAAAAAAACGTAAAATTTCTACAGGAGGTGAAAGTGATAATCACGCGGAGAGTGGAAGTGATTCATCGTCGTCAGATGATCAGAAAAAGAAAAAGAAATCGAAACATAAAAAGAAAGAAAAACATCGACGAAAGAAAGAAGATAAGCGTCTAGCAAAACTTGCTGCTGCTGCTGCTGCCGCTGAAGAAGAAAATGAATCTGATCAACAATTAAATAAAACAGATGAAAAATCTAATGAATTATCTGGACGAGATATGATGGGTCTAAAAACAACAATTGATCCTGATGAAATACCTGAAATACCTGCACATAAATTTCTTCTTCGACCTAATGCAAATGATAATAATGAAACAACAAATACTCGGTAAGAAATCTTTTCCTATAGATAATTATGATTCACACTACAATTTTCTTCGTCTTTAGTACAAATAATAATCGTTCATCGAAAAAAATTGATTCAAGTGGTCGCCCAGTTAAAGGCCGTGGCTTTATGGTATTTAAATAATTTTATGAAATTTCTTTTAATCGTTTTGTATTTCTCTATAGAGATATACTGGCAAAAGTCGTTCAAGATCACGTACACCACCACATTGGCGTCATGCTATTGAAGATCGTAACCGTTTTTCTGATAGAAATGAATTTCGTAAACAGGATATAAATGAAAATATTGAAAATGATCATAAACGTAAACGTGTTGATGAAGAAAAACATGATAATAATCGAGAAGATCGATATTCACGTCGAAACGATAGACGAAAAGATGATCATCGTTCAAGTGAATCATCACGACATAAATATCAACGTAAATCAACAAGTCCTGATCAACAACAACAACGATCAAATAATATTAAACAAAAAGAAAATGATACATCGAATATTATTCGAAAAACACCTTCACCATCAAATCGTCATTCTTCACGAAATCGTTCACCATTATCATCATCAACAAATGATCAACATCAAAAGAAAGATTCTCGATCACATCGTCGTCATCATTCTCCATCACCAATTCATGATCAACATTCAACGAAGGAAACTCGATCACGTCAACAACCATCATCTCATAGTAGTTATCATCGTCGTTCAAAAACACCACCACCACCACCCTCTCGTGTTCGTTCACCATCACCAATAATCGAGAAGAAAGATTCTCGATCATTTGTTCGTCGTTCGAAAAGTCCACCACCATCTCGTGTTCGTTCGCCATCACCAGTGATTGAAAAGAAGGATTCTCGATCATTTATTCGTCGTTCAAAATCTCCACCACCACCCTCTCGTGTTCGTTCACCATCACCCATCATCGAGAAGAAAGATTCTCGATCCTTTGTTCGTCGTTCGAAAAGTCCTCCACCTTCTTCATTTCGAATTCGTTCACCATCTCCAAAGATTGATCAACATAAAACAAAAGATTCTTTTCGTTCACGTCATCGTCATTCAAAAACTCCACCATCTTCTTCTACTCGTGCTCGTTCACCATCACCTGTGATTGAACAACGTGAAAACAAGGACTCTCATTCACGTCTTCGCCGGTCAAAAACTCCACCACCTTCAGGGTCTCGTGTTCGGTCACCTTTACCAGTCATTGATAAAAATGAAAATAATATATCTCAATCACATCAGCAAGAAAATACAAATACAGCACCATCTTCATCAACAAAACGACGTAAACGTTGGGAAAACGAAGAAGAATTTAATGAACGTCAAACATTAGCACAAGCAGCGCAACGTACAAGTCTTGAAGATGAATTACGTATGATTGCGCAATCAAGTGCAGAACAACTTGAACCATCAAATCAATTTACTAACATTCCAGCACAATCACAAGGATCAACAACTATTGCTAGTAAATCAAAATGGGATGATGAAGATGATATGTATGTTTGTTTTTTTAAATTTTAATAAAAATTATTTTATCTTGTATAATCTATAGATCATCAAAAGAAAAGGTTAATCATCCAAAAGTAACACCAACTATTACTCAAAAAACTGAAATACGATTACCAACTAATAAACAACAGGAGAAAACATCATCAAGTCGTGATCGAGATAGACGTGAAAATTATTCATCACAAACTAGTAATAATCGAGATCGAGATCGCGATCGTGATCGAGAAAAACATTCGTCTCAAACTAGTAGTAATCGTGATCGCGATCGTGATCGAGAAAATCATAATCGTCAACCTAGTGGAAATCGTCGAAAACATTCACCATCACCACCACCACCACCATCATCATCAAATCGTGATCGTAATTATGATAGAAACAGAGGTAAATTTATAAATTCAAATACCTTTAAAATATTACGTGATAAACGTAGACGATAGCTTTTTTTTGCTTAATCACAGTTACTACATTATCTCCAAAGAAAATTCGTAGTTCTTTTTAGCACGAGACAGAGATATAATAACAAAAAATATTACCTATCACACCTGCTGCCTTCTCTCTTGAGATAAAGACATTATTTTCGGAGAATGTTTGTCTTACAGCGACACAACAAGTCTACTATTGAAATACAAATTGATAACAATCATGATACGTTTTTTTTGCTATTTCAAACAAATGATCATGTTAATAAGGCAATACATCTAACAAGTGTAGAATATGAATCCACAGTATGTTTATTACAATAAAATTATATATTCATTATTACTGATCATACAATAATGTATTTTTATATAGCCTAGTATTGTTTATTATCACTGAAGATGTAAAAGTACATGAATACTAATCCGATAGAATAAAGTTATTTAAAAATATTAATTAAAATTCCATTCATAACTGACTGACTAGGTTATTTTGACTTAATTACTAAAACAAAAATATTGCTTTAGGTCAAGGTCGTGATTATCATCAGCGTACCAGTGATCGCGAACGAAGTAAATATATTCAAAAAAAAAACAAAAAATTTCCATACAGAATTTATTCAAACTATGCTTTATGCTTATTATTATTATAGGTGATCGTCGTCGTAGTCCTGATCGTCCTTCACATTCGGACACATCCACTCGACAAAAACCAAAACAACGATCATCTAGTTCAAGTTCATCATCATCATCATCGTCGTCATCATCATCACGTAGTTCATCTGGATCGTATGTTTGATTGAAATTTATTTTCATATATTAACTAACATATTTTTTTTTCTTTAAGACATAAAGAACGTAATCGAACTTCACCTATTCAATCAAGTGAACAAAGAAAAATGAAAACTGTACCATTATCTTCTGTATAATAATATCTTGTTGTGTCTTTAATTTCCTTATTATTCTTGTTGTTGTTGTTGTTGTTTGTGTCAGAAACGATAAATATATGTTGTTGTTTTCTTTTTTGCAGATTTTGATATAGAAAAAAAGAAAAGACGTTTATGATTGATACAATATCATCCATGGTAAATGATACGGGTGGTGAAACTCGGGATCATCAAACAGCAGTTGCACGTCCATCTCTTTTATTAACTGGTCTTCGACGTTCAGGTAAAACATCCATACAACATGTTATATTTTCCAAAATGCAACCATCACAAACACAATTTCTTGAATCAACACCACAATTAACATCAAATCATTTTTCTTGTGGTTCATTTATAAATATACAAATACAAGAATTACCCGGTCAATTACATACATTTCCATCATCACAATCTTCAAGTATTTCAGGTGGAAATAGTGGACAAGCATCACCCTATGATGATGATACAAATCTTGTTGGAGGAGGTTACAATATGGAACGTTTATTAAAACAATGTAATGCGGTTGTATATATAATTGATGCTCAAGATGATTATAATCAATCAATTGCACGTTTACATTTAATTATACAATTAGGTAGACGTGTAAATCCGAAAATACGATATGAAGTATTTATACATAAAGTTGATCAATTATCGGAAGAAGTTAAACGAGAAACTCAACGAGATATACATAATCAGGTAGGAAAAATTTTAAAATAGTATTATTATATCATGTATAATTTGTATTTTATTTAGATACGCGATCGTTTTGCAGATTCCAGTGGTGCAATCGATCCATGGTTAAGAACATCGTTTATGTCAAATTCAAATTCTCAAGAAATTTTAATAAATTTTCATTTAACATCAATATATGATCATTCAATATTTGAAGCATTCTCGAAAGTTATACAAAAATTATTACCACAATTTGGTCAATTAGAATATTTGCTCAATCATCTTTTATCTGCATCAAATATTGAACGAGCATTCTTATTTGATATACAAACAAAAATAAGTATTGCAACTGATTCAGCACCAAGTGATATACAAGTAAATTAAAATTAAGAAAAAAAAACGTTCTTTATCTTTTGTTTTTTGTTAAGATATATGAATTATGTTGTGATATGATTGATTTATTAATTAATATGAGTGAAATCTATGGACAACCTAATATTAATTGTATACAAGATACGGAATGTGAAGATGATGATAGTAATAATGAACCGGTAATGAATGGTAATCATTCGTCAACAACAAATTCATGTCGAAATAGTAATATTTCATTTTGTAAAGATTTTCTCTTAGAAATATTATATTAGGTTCTTTAGGTACGACACCAATAACAAATAATCCATATACATCAGGCATTGAAACAACAAATGAACCTGCATCAAATGTATTTGATTCAATGTCATCAAGTATTATAAAATTAACCGGTCATCGTGCACTCTATCTCAAAGAAATCAATCATCATTTAGCATTAATATGTGTTTTACGTGACGAAGCACTTTCAAAACAAGCTATTATTGATTATAATGTTGAACAGTTTAAAGAATATATTTTAAAATTATTTCGTTTAAATCAGGAAAACTCCGAATCTTCTATGTCATCATAGAATATTTATTTCGATAAAACAAAAAAAAAACAAACATCGTTTTTCTATTTTATTTGTTCGTGTGTATTTTGTTTTCTATTTCCTTAACCTCCACCAAAATATCAGGAATGCATGTTTATGTTTTTGCTAAGAGCCCTTATCTGTCTGCATGTATATCCTTTCTTCTTGTATATAAATATATCTATGTCATTAAATAACACTAATGTTACATTGTCTATTTTTTTGATTGATAAAACATTATTGTTCAGTTTTTTTTTATCAACCTCCTTTTTCTCCGCATTGGCACAAACAGTGAATTGTTTTTTCAGCTTTTTATTTCTTATATATGTGTGTGTGTGTGTGTGCGCACAAGAAATGTTTTATATATACATATATATATATATATTTGTTTATTTGTAAGCGCATTTTATTTAACAAAGAAAAATAGCATATACTGCAAATCAGGAATATTTATTTTTTATCTTGATCGCAGATTGATGATTAAGAAGATGAAATCTTTTAAAATGTCATTGGTATTTAATTCTTTTGCTCGTATAAGACTAGTTGATCGACTTGCCGGTTATTTGAATTAATGTGATTATGATAAAATAGAACAAGTTGACTTTTCGAAAAATCTTGTTATGCTATAGATTTTAAGCATATTAACTTCTAACAGATCAGTGGCGGATTTTGGAAGGGAGGGGCGATTTGGGCTAAAAACTATTTTTCAGCCCTATCGAAGTGGCGTGAACCTATTTTTGCTCAAAAAAATCCGAAGGGGGAGGGCAATCATTCCCATCGCTCCTTCTAAATCCTGATTATCTTTTATAAAGCATTTGATAAATGACTATGTGATCAAAACTTGATTTTTATTGAGTTCTATGTACATTACATGAAGGTCATCTTATTTATTAATGTAACATTGGTAAATATTCTTTTTATGTTATTTCAGTAGAAGCATTTTAAATAATCGTCTATCATTATTTTAAAAGTATATACACATGATTGCATCAGTGCAAGAGTAATCAAGAAAGTCATACAAAAGAGAAAAGCAATTATCATATGTTATTCTCTATTTTGTTTGCTATAGCAACATAAATATTACTCCCTAGTTTTTGTTTTTTTCTTCTGTTTAAACAAATATTAAAAAATTTTTATACTAGAAAAATAAAATGTATTCTTATTATACAAACAAAGAAAAAAAAGGTTCTAATACAATGAATTTACATTTCGTTTGTTTATTCTAGCGATGAAAGAGTTTCTAAGGATTTTTTTTTAATACTTTTCTATTCCTTTTTTTCGTTTATTTGTTTGGTTGTCAGTGAAAATGTTTCTAATAGAAACACAATAGTGCCCTATATTGAAATAAGAAAAAAAAAGCCCGAATGATTCATCACTGGCTACTTCTATCACTACCACTCGATTCTTCTCTTTCTCTCTCTCTTTCTTGTTTCTTTTTTTTTTTCGTCGCCTTCGTTACCATTTCACTCCCCTATATATATTAATTCAGCCCAAGTCGTACACTATCAGTCAGTCGTAACAAAGTATTCACTACCAACACAACAACTTCAACTGTTTTATAATAAAATTCTTAAACATCAGTATGTTATCATTTTGAGTTTTTATTCAAAGATAAAAACAAAACTATTTTCTTTTATATTAGATCATGCGTGAATGTATCTCAATCCATGTTGGTCAAGCTGGTGTTCAAATTGGTAATGCATGTTGGGAATTATATTGCTTAGAACATGGCATTCAACCTGATGGACAAATGCCATCAGATAAAACAATTGGTGGTGGTGATGATTCATTTAATACCTTCTTTAGTGAAACAGGAGCTGGTAAACACGTACCACGAGCTGTTTTCGTTGATTTGGAACCAACAGTTATCGGTAATAATTAAAAAAAAAAAAAATCAAATCAAATTAATTAGAAATTATTCTTTTTAGATGAAGTACGTACTGGTACTTATCGTCAATTGTTTCATCCAGAACAATTGATTACTGGCAAAGAAGATGCTGGTAAGTGTATTACATAAAAAATATTCATATGTATATATATATATTTATATAATAGCCAACAATTATGCTCGTGGTCATTATACCATTGGTAAAGAAATTGTCGATTTGGTACTCGATCGTATCCGTAAATTGGCTGATCAATGTACTGGTCTTCAAGGATTTCTTATCTTTCACAGTTTTGGTGGTGGTACTGGATCAGGTTTCACATCATTATTGATGGAACGTCTTAGTGTTGATTATGGTAAAAAATCCAAACTTGAATTTGCTGTTTATCCAGCTCCACAAATTTCGACTGCTGTCGTTGAACCATACAATTCAATTTTAACAACACACACAACTCTTGAACATTCCGATTGTGCTTTTATGGTTGATAACGGTTTGTAAAATTGTAATTTTATACAAAAAATTTAATATTGTATTTTTAAATCTTTTTAGAGGCTATCTATGATATTTGCCGTCGTAATTTGGATATTGAACGACCAACATACACCAACTTAAATCGATTGATTGCTCAAATTGTTTCATCAATTACAGCTTCATTACGTTTCGATGGTGCACTTAATGTCGATCTTACAGAATTTCAAACCAATTTAGTACCATACCCACGTATTCATTTTCCATTAGCTACATATGCACCCATCATCAGCGGTAGGATTTTTTTTCTCTTTTCCATTACAATTTATTTACTTTTATTTATATATATACAGCTGAAAAAGCTTATCACGAACAATTGACTGTTGCTGAAATTACAAATGCTGTTTTTGAACCAGCTAATCAAATGGTTAAATGTGATCCTCGACATGGTAAATATATGGCTTGCTGTTTATTATACCGTGGTGATGTCGTACCAAAAGATGTCAATGCAGCCATTGCTACAATTAAAACAAAACGAACAATTCAATTCGTTGATTGGTGTCCAACAGGTTTCAAAGTTGGTATTAATTATCAACCACCAACTGTTGTACCAGGTGGTGATTTAGCTAAAGTACAACGTGCTGTTTGTATGTTATCAAACACAACAGCTATTGCTGGTAAGATTTTGATATATATCATTTTATTTTTTATAATGTTTTATTTGTTTTACAGAGGCTTGGGCTCGTCTTGATCATAAATTTGATTTAATGTATGCTAAACGTGCTTTCGTTCACTGGTATGTCGGTGAAGGTATGGAAGAAGGTGAATTTTCTGAAGCTCGTGAAGATTTAGCTGCCTTAGAAAAAGATTATGAAGAAGTTGGTGTTGATTCAGTTGAAGTAAGAAAATAATTATTTTTATTTGTTTTATAATATAAATTTTCATATTTCTTCTAGGGTGAAGGAGAAGGTGAAGGTGAAGAATATTAAACAACAATTAACAATAACGATCATATATTTATCTTTGTACTTCTTATTTTTTTTTCTTTTTCTTATATTATTCTTAAAAAAAAACGACTGGATGAATAAATAAAAGAAGATCATTGAATGATTGTATCTACAATAATAAATAATAGCTTTACTGAAAAAAGATTTAATTGTAAAATCGAACAAATCATAAACAATCAGACCTTCAATAGAAAATCTTTATTTAAATAATACTACATAAATTATTGCTAAGCTATTGAAATAATTCGGTTCTAAAATATAACGATTGCTAATAGAAAACACAGCATTTATCCTGTCTTTTACTTCCTAGGCATACGTATTAGATTTGTCACTCTGTATTATAATGATTACGACAAGAAAAAGTCACAAAGCAGTGATTGAAGCATGAAATGAAAAGCATTCTGATTTAATTAAAACAACAAAAATAAGACGTCATTCTTTCTTTTTTTCAAGAAATGTTTTACAGGTGTAAAAATAGTTAAAGATAGATGCTGAATCAGAAAAATAATTAATATCTTTCTTTAAGAATATTCAGTCAAAATTTAATGAAATTCTCAAGAGAGCGATTTACATTCTTATCGTATACACTAAAAGTTGTCATTTTATGTTACCATAATCTTAATATTGTATTTATCTTACATAATATGGAAGTATTTGAATGGACTCCAATGTATTTAATTTTAACTATCAATTTTTACACTATAAAGTGTTAAACCTGCAAACACACGTAGACTCCAGTTAGAGCCCATTGAGTTTAAATTTTTTGAAACAGAGAGTTCGATAGTATATATTTTCTTGTATTTCAATATTTTTCTTGAACTACTAAAGTCTTGCTTTTTCTGAGCTAAGAGCCATTTTTTGATTATTTATATTACATGACTTATACTCTACGTCTTCTCAGACAATCTTAACGGTGTTTTTACAATAATGAAGTTAAAAGTTCCTATTACATTTATAGCAGAGGTCCGCCAAGTCGATTCTATATCTTAATTGAACGCGATTATCAAAGAATTACATTCTACTGAAATATTTATAGTTTTTAATTTGAAAGTGAACATACTAAATCGTGTTATCTTTTAATTTTTTTTCGAACAAGGAACAGTGTAAAATTGAAAACTGTTTTGATAAACAATTATAATGAAATCTTTGACATTTCTCGTTAACTCATCCAACAAAAGCTATTGGTATTGGTCTGAATTATAGCAGAATTTAATTGAGATATTTGATTGAAATCTTTCTAAAACAATTTTACATCAGAGATTCAATTAGGTCTGAAAAAGTAGATCTGCCTGTATTTTTTTTTATAGAAATCGAAGACTTTTTTTAATAAATAGATACAACAAAATTCTAATAGTCAGAATGGAATGAGTATTACTTGGATTTTAAACGATAGCTATTGCAGAAAACACTTCTTCATTAATTGGTCAAAGAATGATGTGAAAACTAAAAGAACTATTTTCCATAAAACTTCATCCAAGTTAATTGCAAGTGAGGAATCCGAATTCAATGTTGATTTGAATCGTTCAATAGCCCTATTTTTCTAGGAAAAAAAGCTATGCTAGTCCATAGATGTGATTTAATTGTATCCTTCTATATCGTTGGAACAATCCGAGTAAAAGCGTTGTTTTCAGTTGTTATG